ATGAGTGAGTGAATGAGACAGGGTGGAGAACTTTTCAGTATCTTTATATCCGACTCAGAATTCTTCCCAGGGAGAGAACTCAGCTCTGGGAGGTTACTTAGTCGGGCCTCTTAGGTGGTGATGGAAGCGTCAGGGGACGTTTGGTGACTGAAGGGTGGACAGTCCCCCTTGGCTACCAGGCCTTCCTCTCACTCAGGAGGTGAGTGGGGCTCTCCCCAGTCTCAACGGCCCTCACTGTGCTGTGTGGCCTCAGTCTTCCCACCCGTGAGATGGGGTTGTGACCGCAGTGTGCCCGGGGGCGCGCACAGGGCTCTGTGGCTGGGTGAGCAGACACAAGGCTGCCCTCCTGCAGCTTCTCGGTCTGGGCTCTCTGGAGCCCCCAGGCTCCGTGGGCGGGCTTGTGGGGCATCCGGAGCAGACAGCTCCCTTTCATTCGCTCTCCCGGGCACCCCAGTGCCAGCTGTGCTGGCTGCCGGCACCATCTTTAATGATCGTGTCTGTCCCCACATCCAGAGTGGCCCATCCGCCTGAATGCAGTCATTGGGGCCCCCTAAAACCTGCGAACAGCCGGATTGTTGCTGCCAGAGAGTCTGGCAGGGCCTGGGTCAGCCCTTCCTTCCAGGGGAGGTGAATGAGAGAGACAGACAGACACAGAGAGGCAGACGGAGGGGGAGAGAGATGGAGGTCTGAAGGCCCACAGACAGGGCGGGAGACAGAGAGAGAGACTATGGGGGCGCCCGGGGGTGGAGGTGGGGTGTAGGCGGGGAAGGGAGGAGGGAGGGGCGGCCTGGAGAGAACAGCCCCACCAGAGCACACAGAAGCCTAGGCGGCTGCCGGAGGTGGGGAGACCCCCTGCAGCCCCCCAGCAGCCCCCTCCTCCCTGTTCCCAGCCCTGTCCCCAGCCGTGGAAAACCCTCACACTCTCTCTTGCTCCCCAGCAAACACACACGTGCTCACCAACACCCTTCACGCACACGCGGCATTCACACACTCACACACGCTCACCATCACTCACAACTGCACGTGTGCCCGTGCTCCACTCAGCCCCGCGTACACGTGGCTGGCATGACCTGGGGCTCCCGTCTGCCGGGGAGGCGAGACCAGACCAGGGAGGCGCATGCCTGGGACTCCGTCCCCTGAGGCTGCTGGTGCCGTGGCCCACAAGTACCCGTGAATCGCCCGGAGGGGTCCTGGGACCTCCTAGAGCTTCAGCAGGGTGGACGCTTGCCTGCAGGGGCTGCACAACCCCTGCTTCAGAGCTGATTCTGCCTCCCCCCACCACCACCCCCGCATTCATTCCGCAACCCAGACGGGCAGCCAGGGCCCCAGCCTTCAGAAAGCCTCCACCCAGGGTTTCTGCGAGGTGGGCCCACTGCCTTGTGCGACCCTGCTGCTCCCTGTTGGTCCCCGTGCGACATGCAGCTCCCGGTTTACGCTGGACACCAAAAATCCACTCCCAACAGGATCGTGGACGGAGGATCCGTGGACAGCCTCAGGGGATCCGGGGAGGGGCGGGCAGAAGGGGCCAAAGGAGCAGTGCCCACCATCCACGCTGAAGACGTCCAGACTTAGACGTCCGAGTACACCGCTGCCGTGGTCTGTACCTGGCCACCCCTCTCTGCCCTCTGCCAAGTTCAGGGCGGACCAGAATTGCCGGGTTGACCCCACGCCACCAGCCCTCGACCACTGACAGCTCAGAATATTCTGCCTTGAGTGGACAAGTGAGCTCTCTCACTTCTATTCCGATTATTCATATCTGTGAAAGTGGATCTGTAACAGTTACAAAATCCGTGCAGCAGAACAACTCAAGATGAACGGTCAGTGAAGAGGGTTCCCAGTGCTCTGTGCCTCGAGGATCACAGGATAACTTGAGACTGTCGTTTTGGTACATTCAAAACTGTTTTCCTACATTTACTTTTTTAAACCGTACTTTTAATTTAGGGATAATTCACAAAACATAAAATTTGTCATTTTACAGTACTGTACACAGTTCGGTGGGTTTTGACATATTCACAAGGCTGTGCCGCCATCACCCCTGTCTAATTCTAGAACATTCTCATCACCCCCAAAAGAAACCTTGTACCCATGAACAGTCACTCGCCATCCCTCCCTCCCCCAGCCCCTGGCAACCACCAATCTCCTCCCTGTTTCTATCGATTTGCCTATGTTGGACATTTCTGATAAATGGAATCATACAGTATGTGGCCCTTTGTGTCTAGCTTCTTTCACTGAGCGCCAGGTGTTTGAGGTTCTGCACACCTTCATACATATCAGGATTCTGAGGGAATCATATTCCATTGTATGGCTATCCCACATTTTGTTTACCTATTCATCTGGCAATGACTACTTGGGTTGTTTCAAACAAACTTTTTTTTTTTTGCGGTACACGGGCCTCTCACTGTTGTGGCCTCTCCCGTTGTGGAGCACAGGCTCCGGACGCGCAGGCTCAGCGGCCATGGCTCACGGGCCCAGCCGCTCCGTGGCATGTGGGATCTTCCCGGACTGGGGCACGAACCCGTGTCCCCTGCAACGGCAGGCGGACTCCCAACCACTGCGCCACCAGGGAAGCCCCCAAACAAACTTTTAAGATACATTGTTCCAAAATTATTTTGGAAACAGTGTGCAGTTGACAACTCTCCTTTCTTATTTTCCCTCTTCTGAGGTTAAGTCCTTCCTATGTTTAAATGTTTTTTCTTTCAGGAAATAATGGTGACTCTAGAGGAAAGTCTTTATGTATTTATTTATTTTTTGGCCTCGCCGCATGGCAAGGCGGCATGTGGGATCTTAGCTCCCCGGCCAGGGATCGAACCTGTGCCCCCTGCCGTGGAAGTGCGGAGTCTTAACCACTGGACCGTCAGGGAAGCCACTAGATGAGAGTCTTAAACAGAATGTCCTTGGTGGGGAGGAACAGAGTCAGCAGCCCTAAATGGACTCCCAAACCTTTTCTCCTCCCCTGATCGGGAAGCCACGGGGCTGATGAGCCTGCAGATCTTGTTCTGTGGTGGCATCACTGATAGCTGACACAGGGTGCCTTCCCGTTTCATTAGAGCTTCCGTGCCACAGCGTTTTCAGGAATCCTGATCTGGGTGGAGAAGGCCGTTCCCGGCCTGTGGGGAAACAGACATTCTTTGTGCTCATCCTCTCCAGCCTGGAGGCTGATCTGTGCAGGGCAGGGGCTGGGAGGAGGAGAGACGCTTACAGCCACTGAGTCACCAAGATGTGGGGAGGTCAGGCCTGCGCTTTCACCTGGGTGCCTTGTTCCCTGCCTGAATCTTGCTGACTCAGAATAACAAGAAAGGACAGTTGTCAACTGCATACCGTGCTCCCCGGATAAGCTCAGGTCCCGGGTATCCGGGGTTGGGCTGGAAGGGTGGGAAGGTGATAAGGAAAGTACCTCCATTGGATGTGTTGACAATTACATGTACATAGAGTTGATCATAAAAGCAATACAATAAAGCACATCAACATTTTTTAAATAGGAAAAGAAAGGGAATTCCCTGGCAGTCCAGTGGTTAGGACTGCGCACTTCCACGGCAGCGGGCACAGGTTCAATCCCCGGTCGGGGAACTAAGACCCCACAAGCCAGGTGACACGTCCAAAAAATAAAAAATAAAAAATAAAATAAAATAGGGAAAGAAAGAAAAAATTCACCTCTAATCTCATCCCAGCAGAGCACACTTATTTGCATTTTGATGAACTTTTAATTTGCCTAAGAGAAAAACAAGAGTTAAAAAAAAAAATTAAAAAATTATAATAGCCTGATGTTGTGTAACCATCACCATTATTTGTTTCCGCAACTGTTTTCATCATCCCAAACAAAAACTCTGACACACTGAGTAATAACTCCCCACTCCTCCCTGCCCTCCACCCCATATAACCTCTATTCTACTTTCTGCCTCTGTGAATTTGTCTATTCTAGGTATCTCACATAAGTAGAATCATACAGTATTTGCTCTTTTGTGTCTGGCTTATTTCACTTAGCATGGTGTTTTCAAGGTACATCCATTGTGTAGCATGTGTCAGAACTTCATTCCTTTTTATGGCCGAATAATATTCCATCATATGGATTGACCATGTTTTGTTTATTCATCCGCTGATGGACGCTTTGGCTGCTTCCATCTTTTTGGCTGCTGTGCATAATGCTGAACACTGGTGTATAGTATCTGTTGGATTCCTGCTTTCAGCTCTTTTGGGTACATACCTAGGAGTGGAATTGCTGGGTCATCTGGTAATTCTGTTTCACTTTCTGGGGAACTGTCAAACTGTTTTCCACAGCAGCTGCATGACTAAAGGCCATTTAAGAAAATTTATCTTTAATATTGTTAAGACATCAATACTACCCAAAGTGATCTACAGAGTCAGTGCAATTCCCACAAAAATCCCAATAACATTTATTATAGAAATAGAAAAATCCATCCTAAAATTCATATAGAATCTCACAGACCCTGAATAGTGAAAACAATCTTGAAAAAGAATAATGTTGGAGTCTCACACTTCCTGATTTCAAAACTTATTATAAAACTCCAGTTATCAAAACAGCGTGGTAATGGCTTAAAGACAGACATGTAGACCAATGGAATAGAATAGAGAGCCGAGAAATAAAACCTCGAATACATGGGCAAATGATTTTCAATAAGAGTGTCAAGAGCATCCAATGGGGAAAGGACAGTCTTTTTAACAAACGGTGCTGGGAAAACTGAATATCCACATACAAACAAAAAAGTCGGACCCTTATTTAACACCATTGCCGGTACAATGCCGGTACAAAGCATCGCCGGTACAAAGTTATCACTTTAAAGCTATAGAGAAGATTATTTTTCAAACGGAAGCCTGATTGCAACACGGCACAGCTTGCAAAATGGATCTAAACATAGGCCTATAAGTATAAAACGCTTAGACGAGAACATTGGGGAAAAGCTTTATGACATTGGATTTGGCAATGATTTCTTGGATATGACACCAAAAGCACAGACAACAAAAGAAAAAATAGGTACATTGGACTTTATCAAGATTAAAAACTTTTATGCATCAAAGGACACCATCAACAGAGTGAAAAGACAACGCATGGAAGAAAATATTTGCAGATCATACATCTGATAAGAAATTAAAATCCAGACTATATAATGAACTATTACAACTCAACAACCAAAAGTTCCCGAACAACTTGATGTAAAAATAGGGAAAGGCCTTGGTAGGTTTGATCTCCCACCGGGCTCTGAGCACCCTGGCTTTTCCAGTCACGGAGGCTTCTCCAAGAAGGAGGCAGCTGGCAAGAAGGAAGCCTGGACTTTTCCAGCAGGCTGAGTGCACCTTGCCCCCCCACCCCGCCACCCCGGGCAACGGGCTGGAGGCTTTGAAAGAAAAGTGAGAACCCAGAGAGAGCTAGTGGGCTCCTTTGCCTGCCTCTCCTTGACTGGCCTGGTTCCAGCTTCCCCTGGAGGACTCTGCCCACCCCCAGCTGCGGGAATGGCTCTGTCACCCTGGCAGGGGAACCAGCCCTGGGATCTGAGCAGGGCTCATCAGAGCCGGGTGGCTGCCTCAGCCTCTCTCCAATATGGGGTGCCAGCTCCCTGGGAAGCCATCTCTTCAACAGCAGGGACACCAGATGGGGCCCTCGGTCCCCAGGTCGGGGCAAACGAGGAGCTCATTGGAGGTGAGAGAGACGAGCGGTCCTTTCTGAGGTCCCTTCTGGTCACTAGTACTTCAGGTTTAAGCCAAGAGGAGGGCTTGTTTCTTGGATGTGATGTCAAGAAAGTAGCAGGTGGTTTGGAGAGGCGCTTGGGATGGTCGATCCTAGGAGTGGCCGGACGGAAGCTGCAGCGGCAGGAAGAGGGGGCGTGTCTAGAAATAACAGCACGGATGCTGGCCGGCGGTGAGCACCGCGCCCTCATCGCTGTTTCTTGTCTCCACCCACAGACTTCTGCAGAGTGCCCCTCTGCAGAGAGGCCTCCCTGGCCACGTGGCTACATTCCCCTCCTCCCTGTGGGTCCTTGGCTAGAATGATAGGTCCGGAGCAGTACTCTGTCCCCTGTTCTTTCCTTAGTGCCTACAGCAGCGCCTGGCGCATAGCAGGTGCACGAGAAATACACACCTGAGGAATGAATGCATCCTGTGAAGGGCGTTTACTTTCAACAGTTTTTTCAGACAGGCTGTATAACTCCTCTGAGAGCACACAGCCAGAAAGAGGCAGGGCTGCGATTAGAACCAGGTCTCTTTCCAGGAGTCAGAACCTGGGAGCCCACTGCCGGGGTGGGTGGTGTCTGCACATGCTTCTCTCTGTGCAACGTGACAGGACATCCTGTCACGTGCTAGCACATGCACACGCTCCCGGGAGCCGAGCCCTGGGATTGGCAGGAGGTTCTGTGCTGTCCTGGAGGATGCTGGCCTCCTCCTCTCTCCTGCTGAGGGTTTATTCCTCCAAGCCTGGCTTAAGCGACACCTCTTTTAGGAAGGCTTCCCTGGGTGTCCCCAAGTCCCCTTCCTCCTCTAGACAGTTCTAGAATCTTGTACAAAGTGCTGCCAGGGCGTCCGTCATGGCGAATCCCAAGTACAGCAGAAAGACTTGGGGCAGATCTGCCTGGACTAAAATCTGGACGTGCCAGTAGCTGTGGGACCCTGGGCATATCACTTCACCCTCCCCCTGCCCCACCAGCATGGCTCTCTCACCCGGACAGTGGAGACACTAGTACCCTCTCTGCCAGGGCCGCCATAACACAGGACCACAGAGACAGGGCTTAAACAACAGAAACTCATGTTCTCACAGTTTTGGAGGCTGGAAGTCCAAGATCAAGGTGAAGCCTCTCTTCTCCCTGTGTCTCCATATCACCTTCTCTGTGTGTGTGTCTGGGTCCTAATCTCTTCTTATGAGGACACTAGTCCTATTGGCTTAAGGCCCACCCTAGTGACCTCATTTTAACTTGATCACCTCTTGAAAGGTCCATCTCCAGAGTCACATTCTGTGGTACAGGGGGTTAGGGCTGCAGCATCTGGATTTGGAGGAAACACAATTCAGCCCTTGGCATGGCCCCTAACCTGACCCTCGAATTCCCTATATAACGTCCCTGACAAGGGGTTTCCCCACCTCGGCTTGCACACCTCCAGTGATAGGGAGCTCTGTACCTTCCCAGATGGTAAGTGGTGATGGTGACTTCCAGCGGGTGACCGCCATCCTTCTGAGCGCCCTGCGTGGAAGCTAATCCCTCTGGCCCTGGAGAAATGGAGAGGGCCATCTCACAGTCTTGAACAATTCAAAACAGGTTGGTTTCTCCCCAAACAGTGAGAGAGCTTGCTTGTTTTGGAAGACAAATTCGAAGGCAGAGACCTGTTAGTGGAGTTATCTGTGTTTTGTTAATCTGCCTTGAGCAGAAGTGCTTTGGAATACCCAAACAGCATGGATGCCTTGTTTGCACAGATAAATGTCAAGTCTGCACCCAAAGGAGGTTATAAAAAAGCCACCTTGGGGGCTTCCCTGGTGGCGCAGTGGTTGAGAGTCCGCCTGCCGATGCAGGGGACGCGGGTTCGTGCCCCGGTCTGGGAAGATCCCACATGCCACGGAGTGGCTGGGCCCGTGAGCCATGGCCACTGAGCCTGCGCTGTGCTCCGCGATGGGAGAGGCCACAACAGTGAGAGGCCCGCGTACCGCAAAAAAAAAAAAAAAAGCCACCTTGGGAGGAGGGCATGGTTTTAGGGGCGGCCACTGCGAAACTGCAAATTATTTTCTTCCCCACCCAGATGAGTTGGATTGTTCTCGTGTTATCCTAGCCAGATGGCAAAAGGCTGCCACCAGGGACGCTCTGATAGTCTTACGCGATTCAGTTTGGCTTTAAAAATCTATTCTCAGAGCTCAGCAAATGAAGCAATTTATTTTACCCTGATGTCATTCTATTTTTACTTAAAGTTTTTTCACATTATAAACATAATACATGTTTTTTGTAGATAGTACAACAAAGCATAAAACAAAATTTAATTCCATCTCCCAGGAACAATCGCTGTTAACATTTTGATGCACTTCTTGCATTTCTCTCTCCCACTCTCCCTTTCCCTCCCTCTCATCAAAGAATACAAAACTTAAAAAAAAAAAGATTGCATTGTATCTCGTATACCCACTAGATATGACAGATAGAGCAGTGAATGAGACAGACAAGGGCCCACCCTCTTGGAGCTCAATCTAGAGGGAGACAGAAAATGAACATATAAATGAACTTTCAGGCTGTCTCCAATTTTTCCTCTGTTGCAAACAATACTGCATTGAGGATTCTTACAGCCAAAGGCCTGAATACACACATGCTGATTGCATAAAGATAACTTTCAAAAGGTGGAATTTAGGAGACAGGATGTTTTCCATTATTAAAAAAGTAAAAAAAACTGTAATGATCATCTGTATGCATATTTATATTAGTAGTGTACGGTTATTACCTGATAAATACCTCCTCTGCCTGTACTAGACAGGTTTCTATTATAGATCTGTAGATTCTCTGGATTACAACAGATTTTGCAGCTTTTCTGCCTAGGCTAACCCCTCCCTCCTCTCCTTATGTAGCTTTACATACCTCCAGGGACAGAGAGCTCATTCCTTTCTCTGACAGTTCATTCCATCTTTGCATGGCTCTGTCCTGGGACAAGTCCCCCTGTGTTGAAATGAAATGGGTCCTCCTGGGCGTCCTCCACTGACCCTGGTTTTCTTGAGACCCGTGCAGAGCAAATCCAGGCCTCATTCTTGCACCAACCCTGCTGAGCCCAAGGCTAGAGCCACACAGCTCCCACCCCCTGCTGAACGGCAGTATCTCTCTTGGGATTCCACCCAGGGATTATCTCACCTCCCCCAGGGAGCCTTCCCTGACCAGCCCTCCCTTAAGAGCCCCATTCCCAGTCCCGGCGCCTCCAGGGAAGCACCGGCCTCTTTTCCTGCCTGTCTCCTCCTCTCATGGCTTTAGCTCCATCTGTGCCATCCCCTGGCCCCTCCACTGCCCTGGAAGGGCTTAGAGGTGAAGTGGGGAAGATCAGACGATTAAAGACAGACGTATCAGACAAGGATTCCTGCCTGTGTGCCCTGATCTCATTAACACAGTAATTGATCCATTGAATCCTGGCCTCACTGACTCATAGGTTGATTTCTCAATAGGGTGGTTGGTTTATTCATTCGTTCATCTAGTAAATCTTGACTGCGGCCTTTTTTTAAAAAAAAATTTTAATGAAGTATAGTTGATGTACAATGTGTGAATTTCTGCTATACAACAAAGTGATTCAGTTATACAAATATATATATTCTTTTTCATATTCTTTTCCAGTATGGTTTATCCCAGGATATTAAACATAGCTCCCTGGGCTCTACAGTAGGACCTTGTTGTTGACCCATTCTCTATACAATAGTTTGCATCTGCTCATCCCAAACTCCCACTCCATCCCTCCCCGAACCCCCTCCCCCTTGGCAACCACAAGACTCTTCCCTACGTCTGGGAGTCTGTTTCTGTTTCGTAGATAGGTTCATCTGTGTCATAGTTTAGATTCGACTGTGGCTTTCTTGAGCCAGGCACTGTGCTGCAATTTGGGGACGCGCATGAACAAGACAGCTCTGTGATCCGCGAAGCTCACCCTCTCGAGGGACAAGAGAGATGCTAAATATATGGGGAAAATCCAACAGGGCCGCGAGACAGACAGCGGTCAATGGCGGCAGGTCCCAACCCAAGGAGGAACCGCTTAAGCTCAGGCTTGCAGGCGACCGAGAGGCAGCCCCGCGAAGATCAGAGGAACAGCCCAGTGTCCGAGTGGGCTCAGCATGTGCCGGGCTCAGCAGAGGGAAGCCTGCCCTTGAGCGAGCTGACCGGCGGCCCTGCCTGAGGAACACGTGTTTTGCCCTTAACAAATCACCCCCTAATTCCAAGGGGCTGCCAATGGGGAGGTGCCCCGTCTCCAGCCACACACAGCGCGCGCGCGCGTGTCTTCCTGGAAACCGGTAACAGCAGCCTCCCCCAGCGTGCACAGCCTCCTCCCAGAGAGCCCGGAGGGGCGGCGGCTGAGCGGAGGGGAGAACAGGGCCGCATTGTGAGCGTCCCATAGGCCGCTGTGGGCAAACAGAAGGCCCGAGTGTGTCGGGGCGGGCAGGCGGGAGCTCAGAATTGCTCAGTGAACCCTCAGTCTCCAGGCCAAGTGCGCGGCCAGGAAGAAACAGGTCTTTATTACAGGGAGGCCCGGCACGGCCTGAAACGGAGGACACGCCGGGCTGTCCATCTGCAACCTTCCTGAGGCTTCACAGGGGTGGGGACTGGACACAGAGCCACAGGCGAGTATAGACACAGCGAGTCTACATTTATGATCCACAGGGGGGTTCACACACACACACACACACACACACACACACACACACACACACACGCCTGTCTCCCTTCCCTCTGTTGCAGCAAAAAGAGAAGTGAAGTCTTCCCTTCCCTGAGAACAAGGAAGATAAAGGGAACAATGAACAGGCTAGAGAAGAAACATAACCTGGCCTGAAAGAGTTAATCATGTTGCAATGTAAATAGAAGTGAGACTTTTCTTCCTTCTTCTCTCGAGAGCAACTAAAGCAAAGGGAACAGCGAACAGGCGAGAGAAGAAACATAACCTAGCCTGAAAGAGTTAATCACCCCTCGGTTTACTTTAACTGTTGCTAATTTGTAGTAACTAGATTTGTACTTTAGGAAGCTAACCTCACTCCCTGACCCTATGTAATTTACATTCGGTACCCATCACCCCTAACTCTGTGTGAGTTACATCCCGTGCCTCCCACCCCCTAACCTTATCAGGTCCGGGCACTTACATTCTATATGCCCCTGGTAAGAAATCACCCCCTAGGGGTGGGATAGGGAGGGTGGGAGGGAGGGAGACGCAAGAGGGAAGAGATATGGGAACGTATGTATATATATAACTGATTCACTTTGTTATAAAGCAGAAACTAACACACCATAGTAAAGCAATTATACTCCAATAAAGATGTAAAAAGAATAAATAAATTCCATTGTTATTTATAAAAAAAAAAAAGAAAAGAAATCACCCCCTATAGTTTTTGCATTTCAGAAACAAGGTCACTGGCCAATAAACCAGAGGCAAACGGACACAATTATCAGACTGCCGGACCCCAATTACCAGGGTGGCCTGATGCCAGCTATGACTGTTTTGAAATAATGCAAAGGAAAGGAAGAATGCAAGACCTTCGCTACTTTGATCCTTATCACAGGCCCCGGACTGCGAGCCTCACATATAAAATCTTCCCTGATTCCCAAGGAGCGGGGGCACAGCTCTGGAGGCGCTAGCCTGCTGTGTCTTCCCTTCTGCCTGGCAGAAAAATAAAGCCATCTCTCTCTTCCTCCAAAATCCCTGTCTCTGTATTTCGGTTCGGCCTCGGTGCACAGGGAAGCTGATGCTTCGGCAACAAAATGGGGGCTCGTCCGGGGTCTGCTCGCGTACAGGCAGCCCCGCAGGGCCCCTCGGCTTGATCGGAAGCTCGGGGATCTCTCTGCACGCCAGGCTCCTTCGGGAGAGCGGAGGGTTGGAGCATTTCTCTGAGGCCAGATCGCCAGGGACTCCCTGCCGCAGGGCTGCGCCCCATCACACCCGGCCTGTCGGCTGCGGCGGAGAACGGGGGAGAGGCTGACCTAGCAGCTGCCGAGGCTCATTTTGCCTTGAGGACACCTTCTCTTCTCTTGGCCGCGCCGGCCTGGACTTCCACTCCGAGAAAACACTGAATATTGGAGGATCAGAAAGAGGACGTAGGGAAGTCGCGACGCACCCGTCAGCACCTACGGTGAGTCTCCCGGACTGCGCTCCGTGACCTTCGACGGTCCCCTTAAGGGGAACTAAGGTACCAATTTGAGGATTTCGTGCAAAGAGAAATCCTGATGTGGAATGCTCCCTGCAAAGGGAGATTTGATGTAAGACGCCGCCTTGGGGCAACGGTCCAGGTCGAGTGGGACTCGGAAATCACGTTTGGGCGGTTCTCCTCTATATGTTTCTCTTTTTCTTTTTTGAGCATCCCTTTGCTGTTTCCTTTTATGGTTTATGTTTTATGTGTGACTTCCAGCTGATGAGGTGAAGGTTTGTTTTGATTTGAGCGTGCTAATATCAAATGTCTGTTACCAACTGCTCGAGCCAAAATGGGAAGCGCTTCCTCTAAGGTTCCACCCACCTGGGAACACTCAGGGAAAATTTTAAATGACTGGTCCACCTATAGCCATGATCCAATGACAAAGGAAATGGCCTGAAAATGGGTCTCCTACAATTAGATCTTTATGGCCACGGGATGGGAAAAATGGACTGAGGTTCCCTTATGTTCAGGACTTTATGCCCCTTTTATTATAATCCTGCTGTAGGTGGCCCTAGAAGCCTGAGGAATCAGAAAAGAAAAGAAAAGAAAAGAAAAGAAAAGAAAAGAAACGAAACTCTCCTGACATTCTAAAGGATCCTCTTCTAACTTCTCCCAACTCTCAGGGGAGTGGGAAGGTTTCCCCAGTCCTGCAAGTTCCCTCACCCCCAGATTCTTCTGATCAAACTAAGACCGCACCTCCCCAGAAGGACAATCCCTGCTGGGACAAGTTTATCAGCCAGTCTGCTCCTGTTATCAGAGCCAATTTGAGCACTCTCTGGTTTAAATTTTAGCTGTGCAACCATGACCACAGAAAAGAGAAAGATGATTTTTGACAGTATGGCCACAATATTCTTCAGACTCTGGAGAAAACTGGTTACAATAAAGCTTTTCTTAAAATTGCAAAACCAGTCCTTTTTGCATGTACAGTTAGAAAAAGCTAGCTTGTTAAAATATTTTTCTCCAAAATTCTGACGCTGAGAGAACAAAAATATGCCTAGGACAAAGCTTGACGTTAACTGTTACCATGTCCTTGAGCTACAAAGCCCACTTTGCCTGAGACTTCAGCCTTGGGTTAATTAGTAGAACTTCAAGCCAAGAAAAAAAAAAAAGAGGCAAAGAGACATTTTAAATCTGAAGTGGAAACTATGAGATCTCTGTCTGTCTGGATACCTGTGTATGTCTCAGTATATGTTTCTGTCTTTGGATAATATTGCTGAGGATAATTTGTAAATGAGCTCTATATAATTGGCTTAAAAGAAAAGCACTTACAAATCAAACAATTCTAAATACAAGAAAAATTAAATAAATTTCAGGTTCACGTGACCTGGGAATTATTCAATATTAATTATTAATGTTTGTTAATCTAATTAATATAGACATGTCTTTAGAGCCATCAACATTAAGGATAATACTTTTATTGTGCCTAGGTTTAATATAAACTAAATAAGATCTTATTATATCTGTTACAAATTTGTCAGCAATGAAAATAACTCGATGTGAAGAAACTTTTAAGAAAAAAAAATCGCAAATGAGATAAGAGCTTTGGGTGAACTTTTTAGGAATACTTACGTTTTAGGAATATTTACTTAAGAATGATCTCTCCAGATATCTGACAACTTGAAAGTTTAGAGTTGTGCTAAATTAAGTTAAAGGATGCAAGTTATTAAATAACTAGGCCATTTCCAAATAAAATAAGATACTGAAACATGAATTACGGAACCTCGGCTTCCTCGTACAGAGAAACAAAAGGTTTAGAACTATTAAAAAATGTGTTTGGTGCCACACTGAGATATTTTCTATAAGAAAGCACATTCTTTAAATATCATTTGGATGTACGTTTACCGGTCTACAGAGTGCTGACATAAAGGACAGTTCATGGTTGCTTAAGGAAAGTAGGATGTGTGTTTTTAGTAAAGAAGGTATGAGCAATGGAATTGCATTTTATTAAGGGAAAAGGAAGCAGGTCTGATTCACAGGTGGCTGTTTCTGAATGGGAAAATAAAGTGATGGATACAGAAAGTGATAAAAAAGGTTTGTGGAAAGTGGACCCTGAGAAAAGAGTTTTACGCATGGTACAAGTTTTCTTAAGGTGTTGAACTGCCTTGGATGACAGATTTTAAGCTTCTTTACCTTTTAAGTGATCAGTTCGATATTTGCCTTTAAATCTTTTATTGTCCTTTGGGTAAGTGAAAAGCAATCGTTTCACAGCGATGTATGATCTTCTCTGACTGAGTGTTCTAAACCCTTTTGTGTTTTTGATAAAACTTCCCAAATCAAATTGTAATGAAGTTTCTTTGACCTCTAGCTAACTTTGGGGTGCTTCAAACGGCCTCTGAAACATCCCAAAGAGAGATGTTACACTAATTAGGTTCATTTGGTATGTTAAAATTACACGGGAAGTGTTGTCAAATGTGTAATAAATCTTCTTAGGTTATATTGTATGGTAATTGTTACTAATATAGATATTCTAGAAATCATATGGAGTTTCAAAAATATTCTGATGTCCTGGTAAAATGTTATCAGTCATAATTCTAGTTATTATCTTAAGCATCATATGTCACAACAGTAACCAAGTTACCTTGTAAATTACATTGTAATCAGAGTTTTAAACTTGCCATAAGTCTTTTGTCATTAGAGACACAGTTTCACTCTGAAGCTTTTGCAAAGATGCTGCTTCTTCAAGAAGATTTATAAGAAGAACTTTTGGATAAATACAAGTTTCTGACTTTCAGACCATAATGCTAAACTGGATATAAAGAAGCTCTTCTCCTCAAGCTACTTATGGTTTACAACAATTTGGTAATTTACACCTACGGGTAAAATTAAAACATTTATCTTTTCTCTCTATTTGCTCCCTCCACAGATTGGAAACTCTTAGGTCCCCAGCACCTTTATCAGATAAATTAGGAAGTCTACCTCACTAATAGGTACAGAAATCTCAAGGTATGTTCGGGACCTTGAAAAGGGAGGAATTCACCTATATCTGGTAAGCGAAATCTGTGACAAGCCTTTGGTGGGACTTTCCTGAGAGGTCTTTTAAAAGTTCAGTCTGAGACTCCTTAAAAAAGTTTCAGGAAGCAAAAAGCCTATAGGATACAATACAGTTGTATAAATCATCAGGCCAAGTTTATTGACACCAGACTGAAATTTGGTTCTCTCTCTCTGTTAGAGAACAAAGTTTTCTTGGGATGCTGCTTTAATAACAGACTATGTAAATTTCTTTGCCTTTAAGTGATTCACATTTGCTTTTAAAATCTTTTGTTACTTAGGTAAAGTAAATAAGTACTATCTCACAATGATCTATGAAGATCTTGGCACCCGTAGATAAAATTCATTCTGCTTCTACAAAAATTAACCTCTCATTGTCAGACTTTTGCCATCCTGACTGTCCTTAAACATGACAACAGTCCACTCCTAAATCAGGGAATTTAAAATGGGTAAACAATAGCTGTCAATCAAACAGTCAGGGCTATGGAAAATCCAAGAGGGCTGCCTGGCTTTTTCCCGCTCCCTGATAAACCTCATTTTTTATTTGATGGGATAAAGCCTTCCCTGGTTGCGGGGTTAATGCCCTCACAATGAAGAAAATCAATTATGTTTTACTGAATATTAAATTCTAGGTTTGCTCATTAAGGTCTGTGTTTACCAAGACTCACTTCCCAGATAGTTCCTTGCAGTTACGTTATATTGCTAAAAAGTTTAATTGAGTTATTAAAGGGCACTCTAAGTTTGTTTCTAAAGCTTATCTCCGTCATTTTTCTTTGGATGAAGATCAGATACCCCACGACCTACAACCAGGGGATTATACATACTGGAAAAGACATAATTTAAAGGACTATCTCCAGACTGGATGGAAGGACCCTTATCAGGTACTCTTAACTAGCTCGTACACAGTAAAACTAAAGGGAATTAACTCTTGGGTTAATTTCCACTCACAAAGGGCCCCTGCACTGGACTGGCCTATAGAGAGGATGGCTGACCTCAAAATCACCTTAAAACAATGCTCAAACAGAGGAGAAACTACACTCACGCGAGGATGAGAAAAAGACAACATCAGAAGTAGACAGCTTCCCCAAGATCCTGGACCTGACTCATACGCTCATTTATAAGGTTTTCTTGACTTCTTGGACCTTTGCATATGAATCAAATGTTTTTCTGTCATAGGCACGATGCTATGACAGTTTTTGTTGTTGTTGTTGTTGTTGTTGCGGTGCGCGGGCCTCTCACTGCTGTGGCCTCTCCTGTTGCGGAGCACAGGCTCCGGAGGCGCAGGCCCAGCGGCTATGGCGCACGGGCCCAGCCGCTCCGCGGCATGTGGGATCTTCCCGGACCGGGGCACAAACCCGCGTCCCCTGCATCGGCAGGCAGACTCTCAACCACTGCGCCACCAGGGAAGCCCCTATGCTAGTTTTAAAAATCAATCCAGTTGTTGGGTTTGTGGCCAATTACCTATGTCTAGTACTTCTGGGTTACCTGAGTGGACTTCTCCACTCCAAGGCTCTAATTGGCTGCCTCTTAGGAAATTTATCTTAAAAGGAAAATTATAGTCATGTTCAGGCCACTACTGATATGACTGGATGAGATCCTCTCACCTGACCAATTAATAACACCTGCTCTGACCCTGACCATACATACGAATTTTCCTCTATTACTCAAAGTTCAATCAGAGCAACAAGCAAAATTTCAGCCGAGGAATAAAACCTCCCCCAATTATGGGATGGATTTATGTAATTAACACCAGGCTACGGTAATTTAAGGTTAAAGGCTCCTCTAAAGGCTGGGAACAATTCAATCATACTAAGGATAATCAGTCTTTTAGTAACACTAAAAAACTGGGCTGAGTACCTTGTGGACACTGCCAGTATATAATTTCCCTGAAGAACAGGGATTGGTACAGAACAGACTAAGTCAGACGACCTGGGATATACTGGGCTGCCCCTAATGGAAGTTCTTGGCTGACTTCTTCTTTATGACTTTATGAATACTGCCAGCTATGTTATTTGTATTCTGCCTATTTCAAAAAAAGTGATTGTTTCTTATGTTACCAAGTGTGTGACTGGGCCTCTGATAAAATGATGATATAGAGTTCCATATGAGATCAGTGATTGCAATAGTCTAACTCTAGATATGAGAAGAAGCAACAAGAGGGAGTATTGTCCTGGACCATAAGGGACTAGGAAGACAGGTGGTCCAGAGACTTCTGGATACTAGGAAAGGCCTAGGCCAGTAATAGCCCATGGAGTGGCTTATCAGCAAAATCTTCACCAGACCTGGGAAGGAGCATTCCTAACACCATGGGACAAAATGGTCAGGAAATGCCCCAAACCATGGTTGAAATTACGACCATAAAGGGGCCCTGCTGACTGAAAACTGACACTTGCCATCTACTTCTACAAGGATTAAATCATGAGCTGTTGTAGCTGGTGACCTTCAACACCCTCTACAAGGACTTCCGGGTGGAGAGCTGAAACGAGGGACTCTGTGCGCTGGGAAAAACTGACAGGACAGGCCTTGAGATAGTTAAATAATTTCAGGAGAAGATTTTACGAGCCCCAGTTCTTGCATCTTCTCATACCCAGAGAAACACTGACACCATTAACGGTGACACTATGGTGTGATTTTAGGCAAGTCCTTTTATTGCTAAGAACTTGAGTTTTCTGAGCTGTTTTAGATATGGGATGCCACCGGCCAATTTCAAAACAATGTCTGCTGACAGCTGGTAACTGCAACCTTACTTCTTAAAGGTCTCTTCTTGTAACTATTACACTTTTAGACGATAAAATTGCTTTCGATCATATGTTAACAAAAAGAGAAAACACATATGTAGTGACCGATAGCTCCTGTTATCTATACGTTAATACCACAACAAAGGTTAACACCTACTTTGATGAAACTAGATAACCGGCTACCTGGCTACAAGTCTCCCCAAAGCACCAGGCCTAGACTGGGTTTCAGGCTTATTCTCCTAAAAAGAAATGAGATCTATTTTGTCTATTAACGTTTAGGTTGTCACGCCTCCAAATACTTCTAACAGGGTCTGTTACACCTACATCAACCACAATGGGCTAATAGAAGAGGACACAGAATTATATATATATCACCAAATGACTGCATTCCTTTAGACAGGGTAACACAAGCGCCGTCTCTATCTAGATCAGGATCAAAATTACTACCAAACGTTCCATGGCTCTTCATCCTGCTTGGGCCCCCAGCTACAATGATTCTTTTATTAATCTTTGGCCTCTGTCTTTTTAAACTACTTGCTAAATTCTGTCTCTTCCAGATTACAATAGGTTCACATCAAGATAATGATGACGCAAAGATTCCAGCCATTTCTCAGAACAGATGCTGCCAAAACAACAACAGAAGTCACCCTGGGGCCCTTAATAAGACAGGGCGAGAGCTCTGTGACCCCAACTAGGTAGGGTCTACGAACCCCTTGCCAGCCTGAGGAAGCGACAGAAGACAGACCGTCGTCCCTCATCCTCCCAGTAAAGATTTCTTGGGGTTCACGTCTCTCAGGGGGGGATTTGAAATAGGAGATAGGTGGGCCCCTGGGCCGGACAGCTGGAGTTTGTCAAGTGGAGCAGAACTGAAGTTTTGTCCTCAGCCAGACAAGAACGACGCCCGCTTCCCTTCCTCCATTGATATGGAGGGAATGAACTAGCAGTGGGGAATTTGTTGCAGCAAAAATAGAAATGAAGTTTTCCCTCCCCTGAGAACAAGGAAAATAAAGGGAACAGTGAATAGGCTAGAGAAGAAACATAACCTGGCCTGAAAGAGTTAATCACGCCTTGGTTTACTTTTAACTGTCACTAATTTGTAGTAACTAGATTTGTACTTTAGAAAGCTAACCTCACTCCCTGACACTGTGTAATTCACATTCGGTACCCATCACCCCTAACTCTGTGTGAGTTACATCCCGTGCCTCTCACCCCCTAACCTTATTATGTCCGGGCACTTACATTCTATATGCCCCTCGTAAGAAATCACCCCCTATAGTTTTTGCATTTCAGAAACAAGGTCACCGGCCAATAAACCAGAGGCAAGCGGACGCAATTACCAGACTGTCGGACCCCAATTACCGCGGAGCGGCTGGGCCCGTGAGCCATGGCCTCTGAGCCTGCGCGTCCGGAGCCTGTGCTCCGCAACGGGAGAGGCCACAGCGGTGAGAGGCCCGCGTACCGCAAAAAAAAAAAAAAAAAAAAAAAAAAATTACATGGGAAGTGTTGTCAAATGTGTAATAAATCTTCTTAGGTTATACTGTATGGTAATTGTTACCACCCTATATTGTATGGTAATCCCCTCACCCTAAGGCAGACCCGCCTACCTGGGAAGGGGGATCCAGTGTTAATGGGGCTGTGACGCCAGCTATGACTGTTCTGAAATAATGCAAAGGAAAGGAAGAATGCGAGACCTTCGCTACTTTGATCCTTATCACAGACCCCCGGACTGCGAGCCTCACATATAAAATCTTCCCTGATTCCCAAGGAGGGGGGGCACAGCTCTGGAGGCGCTAGCCTGCTGTGTCTTCCCTTCTGCCTGGCAGAAAAATAAAGCCATCTCTCTCTTCCTCCAAAATCCTTGTCTCTATTTCTGTTCGGCCCGGTGCCCAGGGGAGCTGATACTTCGGCAACACCTCCTCCTCCCTCCGCTAGCTCAGAGAGAATTTCTAAAATCCTTACTTGAAAGGTGCTGGCTGGTGAATAATGCCGACCACGTGAGGGCCTCTGTGCCCCGGGGCTCAGGTGCTCTTCAACAATCCCAGGAAGCAGTTGCCTTTAGAAACCCCCCTCTGCAGACGAGGAAACTGAGGGTCAGAGAGGGTCTGGGACTTGGCCGGGTTCACAGCTGGTAAATGATGGACAGGGATGGAACCCAGGCCTGTCTGAGCCCTGTCCCCATGTATTTCACCACCATGGGGTGCGTGTGTGTGCGCGCGCGTGTGTGTGTCTGGTTGTTCCAGGGGGCATTGAGAAATCCGACTTGGTCACGACGACGCGCGGGGTGGGCTTACTCCCTGCAACTGTCGGGGAAAAGTACCCTCTAAGTGCCCCCTGTCAGTGACCAGAACAGAGCGCCTGCTTCAGTCTGGGGCATTTCCTTCATGGGGTCAAGGGTCTGGGGAGCTGGGTCAGCCCCTGGAAGGCTGCTGGGCAGGAAACGGAACGGAGCCTGGGGGGCGGGGGTAGGGAGAGAGGGGGGAGGGGAGAGAGGGGGGAGGGGAGGGGGGAGCCTGCAGAATGTCCCCACCCTAAGGCGGACCCACCTACCTGGGAAGGGGGATCCAGTGTTTATGGGCTGTAACCTCACAGTTCACTGGCCTCTGACCGGGACCCTCCCCCACTCCCCCCACTCCCTCTCCCGTCCTCAGAGAGTCTCTCAATCAAATCCACCCCAGTCCGCCCCGCCCTTCGCCTTGTTTAGAGCTTCCTGGGGACAAATTCCAAGGCCGCTGGGCCCGCCCCTTCTCTCCCTCACCTCTCGCCTCCCCCGACTTTGGACTTGGCACTCTCAGGAATCTCTCCCTGCCTGTGCTCCTGCGGACTCTCTGCCGGCATCCTTGCCGCGGCTGCTCCACCGGGAGGGGGGAGGGGGAGGGGGAGGGGGAGGGTCCCGTCCCCTCCGCCCAGCTCCCAGGCCCTTGCGCTTCCCCTGCCCAGCGCTGGTCACAGTGGGGATGGGTGACTCTGCTGTCCCACTCCTGGGCTGCTCCCCTCCCAAGGGTAGGATGGGGGGTCCCATTACTCTGGCTGTGGAACAAATTACCCCAAGACTTCGTGGCCTGAAACCACCACTTCTCAAACTCACAGATTCCGTGGGCTGGGAGTTTGGGCTTGTCTGGGGCCTCAGCTGGAGTCACCTGGAGGTTTGTTCAGGTCGCGCGGTCGATGCTGGCTGTCCAGTGGGCCCTCCACGTGGGCTAGCAGGGGGGGCAGCACCCACTTCAAGATGTAGGCGGTCTGGGACTTCCTTGGCGGTCCAGTGGTTAGGATTCTGCACTTCCACTAAAGGGGGTGCGGGTTCCATCCCTGGTGGGGGAACGAAGATCCCACATGCCATCAGCCAAAAAACAGGCGGAGGGGCGCTCCAAGGGGTGGGGGGCATGGACCCCCCCCCGACTGCTTGGTGGGAGCTGTGTAGGGAGGGTCATTTAGGAAGAT